CTAGGTTTGCTCTGAGTTCTAACTGGATCAGAAAAACATTGTGCTATAGTTTCAACTTGAATCAATCCATGTTTCCTTTTTTCTTCCTCTCCCTTACTCTTCATCTTCCATTCTAATTCAAACAAGAAATGGAAAAGCTCTATCAAAAAGGTAACCCCCACCCACACATCTTCCCAAAACCGAATATGAAGCCCATTACCCACTTTCATAGACAAGAAAGGAGACACTATAGGATATAAATGAGAGATGGACTTCCAAGGAGACCGACAATTGCCTCTCCTAACCACATTTGAATCTCTACCATTGTCCTAAACACCATACTTGTTTTTAATGATGGAGAACCATAATGACTCGCTTTCACTAGGGAACCTCCACAACCATTTGCTCAAGAGTCCAATATTCCTCGCAACAATATTCCCGATAGCAAGACCTCCTTTCTCCCTAGGGAGAGAAACCACCTCCCACTTAACTAAGTGATCCTTCTTATCTTCATCACACCCTTCCCAAAGAAAGTCTCGCACCAACTTCCCGACTTTCTTTGCAATCCTTACTAGAATCGTAAACAAAGATGAGTAGATAGGGATGCAACTTAGCAGTGATTGCACCAAAATGTATATCCCCCCTTAGACAACAACGCTCTCTTCCAGCTATCTATTCTTTTCCCAATCTCGACAAGTACAGATTCCAAAAAGAATCCGCTCGAGGATCCCCTCCTAAAGGCAAACCCAAATATTTAAGAGGGAACTCCTCAATGGGGTAACCTAAAAAATGAAATATTGCTCAGTTGACTTTGTTGATCGATTATATATCAATCATTCACCTTGACCAGCAGAAGTTTGGAGTTTTTAACTTCCTCCAAATTCTTTAATTAAAATTCTTACACAATATATAGATAACACATACACAAAGATGAAAAGTTATTTATTATTATTATTTCAAATATTGAAGATCTCTAATATTCGCAAACTAGTCAGATTGCTTTGAGAAATTTCAATTGAGAATCTTAAAGTTTTGGTAACTATATATACGTTTCACTTTTATTTCTCAGAAAGTTCAAAATGCTCTGTAATTTCAGTGGAAGTACGAACCCATTGGATGGAATGCTGTTGCTCCTGGATGTCATTGCAGTACTCAAGAAGCTTAAACAATCTTATTCTCAACACTATTTTTTTTCAAAATTTTGTTTGTTGATAAGAAAATAACGGCATGAACAGCACAGATTATCTAATAATAGAAGAAAGTAACAAGTAATATACAAAGAAACTTATGGAGCTATAATCCAAATGCTTAATGGCACAGATAAAATCATCTGGAAGAACATTTTCAGGTAACAATTCCTGTGTTAGAAATGCATAAGAAATCCAATTAAAACAGAAAGTTGACAATGTCATAGCAAAACCTGAATACGCTTCTACAAGTCAAATAATAGTGGTAGGGAATATTACTATAAAAGTTTTGTAAGGGGTTGCATTTGACAAAACAACTGAAGAATGCACCTTCGTCCCATCAGCCAATATAACCTAAATGATTCCACCCAGGTTCCTAATATCTAAATTACTTTTTCGAAGCTCGAAAATCCATTTCAATGAGGAAATCCAGATAATGAAACTAACCCCATTTACAGCTCCAGAGTCCTCAATCATCAATCTTGAAACCTAAATAACAAAAAACATCCTCATAGGTAGCAAGATAATAGATTAGACATGACCAAACTAGCAAAAAGGTAAATAATTTATTATTTCTTGAAAAAAGAAGAGGAAAAGGTATGATAAGAACTAAGGATGTATGTTTCCTAGCTTATTAATTTCATTGCGAACTACGAAAATGGTTAATCAGATGAACCATATTTCTCTCAAATTTGGCATTTGAACTATTTTTCTGTTTCAATTATAAAATGAAGAGCATTTGAAACAAATACTTCACTCGAGAAATTTCAAAAAACAGAACAAATACAAAAAACAAGTACCAATCTAAATACTAAAGTTTTGTGGAGTTGCATGTGGATCAAAAGCTTAGTGACCATGGATACTACAGAAAACTGTCGCCAAAAGGCAGATGAGCTTTCTCTATGAATCTCATCCAATATAATAGTGCAATCAATCACCAATCTAACAATTGCAAAGCAATCAGACAATAAAATTACTTACAAAAACTCTCTGTATAACATATCAAATCCAACTGTTGATCAGATCAAGAGGACAACAATTCAAATATAACTTTCGATTACAGCACCGTTATGAAGTGGTTGCATTGTATGTCTACCACTAGTCCACTTCTTGTTATTTTGTAGTTTTTCTATTCCAAAGTACTTCATAAGGAAGTAACTTCCTTGGCTACTTATATATAGGGTTGTAATTACTCTTTTTAAGGATGTCTTTGAAGAACTGAAACTTAAGATTTTGAGATTTTATTTTCATTTATTAGCAAATGAAATCTAAGAAAAAAATATATGAAAGACAATACATGAATTTTTTTAATTTTCTGAAAAATGTACCTGAGATAAAGAGCAAGATAGATCTGATCTGATTCAAACTCGATTTCGGATTTGCGATTTGCAAACTCAAGATGGGACCTAATAGCGAGAGAGATTGAGTTCGAGTTCGATTAGCCTCGAGATCGATGAAGAACAGAGATCGTTGCGATTGATGAAGAATAACTAGAACAAACCCATGGTGGAGACGTCCAGAGAGTGAGAGCTTGCGAAGAAGATGTTGACATGGCTGAAACCCGGATTGCCGACGAGGTTGGTGGTCCTTGGAAGCTTCAGCTATGGCGGAAGAGAAGATGGAGGAGAAGAGCCAACAACATGGCCAAACACGACTGATTGAATTTTGTTTCCCCTTCTAACCGGTGTAGCCGGTTGCCTATTTGAGAGTTAAATTATTTAAGTAATTTGGTTATGACCTGGTTGTGAGATAATATGGTATAAATAAGTAACTGAATATAACTAAGTTATGACTCAATATGATAGTGATTATGACTAATATGATGTTGGTTATGACATAAAATCATATAAGTTCATAACTAAATGTATGGTACATCTAAATGTACCATAGCATCACCCCTTTAAGCATCATCTATCAAACAACTAGTACTTATCTTGCAAAACATATATAGCATCGCCTCACAGCAGCTGTTGCATGAACAGACAAGAATTACCACAGGCAAAATTTGTAAAAACCTTTCAGCATTGTTCTTTCTCCAGATATTCACTCTTAGCTCTTAGGCGTGCGTATGCTCTATAAAATGTTCAAAATTTAAACATCTTTAAAGTACAGAGTAGACACATACACTCCTACAACGCATAAAAATAAAAGAAGCTTGTAGAACCATACAATAAAGCATGTGCATAGCCGATGTAAGGCTTTTATGAAACTCTTTCAAGTTTTCCATGTCTACTTTCAGAATTTTCCAATGGTTTGAGATCTGGGCAGAAGATTTCCAATGGTGTTTCCAGATGAAAACACTTCTGGAACATCTCTTTCAGCCACAGGTAGAATTATTGGCAAACAAACATGATCACAGACCATTACTTTCCATATGTGCTGTCATCAGGGGTAATGCCTTTGCTAACCATTTCTTTGAGGAGCTCTTCTTCATGATCTCCCTCCTGGTTTTTGCATAAGCCTTGTATTAGTGCATTGTAAGTGAGAAGGGTTGGATTGAATCCTATACTTAACATCTCATCTCGAACTCTAAAGGCATCCTTTATATCACCTCTCCTACTGTACCCACTAATGAGGGTGTTGTAACTAATGTGATCTAGTTTAATCCCCCTTCTCTTCATCTCATCAAGAAGCTCACGAGCTTCTTCAACTTTACCCTTTCTGCAATGACCCTGCATTAAAGTGTTGTATGTCACTTCATCGGGAGGAACCTTCATCCTATCCATCTCCTTTAAAAGGAAAAGTGCACGGTCCACATTCTCATTGGCACAATGCCCATCAATCAATGCGTTGAACATTATAACATCTGGCAAAACACCTTTGTCCATTATCTTCATAAATAAGTTATCTGCTTCCTTCATTCTATTCTGCTTGCTCAAAACGTATAAAAGAGATGTGTAAGTAACCCGTGTAGGCTGAATCCCTCTACTAAGCATCTCATCATGCAGGTTGAAAGCTTTCTTTGCATTGCCAGACCTACAATACCCATTGATCAATATGCTATACGTGATGGCATCCGAAGCCATTCCTTTTCCTTCCATCTCGTTTATCATATCATTGGCTTCAACGACCCTACCTTCCATAAATAGTGCATGAATAAACAAATTATACGTGGACACAGTTGGCATTATGGCTTTCTTTACCATCTCATCCCTATAACTAAAAGCCCTTTCCAAGTTCCCTTTGTTGCAATATCCATCAATCAAAGCATTATATGTCACAGCAGTTGGAAACAATCCATTTTCCTCCATTTTCTCAAGAAACACAGATGCCTCCTCAACCCTTCCCTCCATACACATACCACTAATAAGCGAACCATATGTATACGAATCTGGCATGATCCCTTTAGCTTTCATTACCTCAAAAAGCCGACGAGCCCCTTCAAGGTTCCCCCTCCAACAATACCCATGAATGATGGTATTGTAAGTAACAACATTTGCTTTAAACCCTAAACCCTCCATGTACCCAATAAATTCCTTAGCCTTCTTTAATTTCCCTTCTTTACACAATACATTGATCATTATATTAAAAGTGTACACAGTTGGATTAATCTTCAACCTAAACATCTCAGCATACAAAACCTACACTATCTCTGTCCAGTTCAATTTTAGAAACAAACTCAACATATCATTACAAGTTTCAATCTTGGGCAATATACCCTTATCTTTCATCATACAAAAGCACTTAAACGCCTCATCAGCTCTTTTCAATTCACAAAACGCCCTAATTAACAAATCAAACACAATTGAGCTCGATATATCTAATCGCTCTCGGGCACCCACTAACTCATCGAAAATCTCCCTATTCATCAAAACCCAGAAGTTAATTATGTTCTTTATGAGTTGCAGAGCTTGTTTGGGCAATAGAAGGCGGGAGATTATGGAAATGGCGATGCAACGGTATTGAATGTTGAGGCGGTGAGGTTCGATTTGGCCGATGAATTTGAGAATGAGGTCTGTGTTTGCACGCAGATTATAAAGGACTGTTGAGACTAAGGTGGGGGTGAGAATGAGTAAAACGTGTTTGATGAAATGCCACTGAGAAGACAAGATTGATTCTTGCAAGGAGTGTGGGGTTATGGGTGGGGTAAAGGAACGAAGCGCTCTACTATTTCTATTCTACTATGTTTATTAAGTTAAGCAACAAAAACAGAACAAGGAAAGGAGATGTTTCCGCAATAAAGATGGAGAGAATTTACATTGTTTATTATGTTTGCATGAAAGCCAATTTATAAAATACAACTCCATGAAAAAACAAAACCAAAAAGTATAGTCCAAATTTAATACCTACCTAATTGGTTGAACTATCAAATACATACATCCAAATTTGCAAAGCTTTCCAAAAGTCTATACTACAAAAGTGCACTAGCCTAGTCTTAGGCTTTGACAATTATACATGACTTCTAGACATATAGTTGTGGAGGTTCTAACAAACTCCAACTTAGCAACAATTATATACAAATATACATGATGTAGATATATTGTCTACCCTCAGTTTTCAAAGGGATAGACTGAAACAAATAAGATTTGGTTGATCTTATTTGTCATGTAGTGTGAGCTAAAAGGATTTGTCTAACCACTTCCCGCCCAATAATGCAGGTTACTCCACATGTCCTGGATATGGTTGGAGTCGATCATGAAACAACTGCATGTGATAATGGGGTCCACTATGCTTCCATCCTGTTTATGAGATTGTGATATTCTTCATCAGTCTCTAATGGATGGGAATCAAGATCCTGGCTATATCGCTCATTTTGAAATTATTCTATATCATCCACGGTAATGGCTAGTTCCAATAGAAGATCCAAATTATTTCTCTTTTTCAGATTTAATAACATGTCAAGAGTCTCATTAATTTGTGTAGGAGACCTTTGATATGTTATGGAAAAATGAGTGACAAATAGTATTCTTTGAAAACCGTCGTTAAAATTATTAGATGGTGTTTTTTAAAATGCCGCAAAATCTTTTACATCCGCTTCCATTTCCATCACAAACTAACGCATGACGTCATTTAGTGGCGTTCTAAATGACGTTTTTTTGAAAAAACGCCACTTTTTTTTTTCTCCTTGATTCTGAAATATGAGAAAAATTACAATCAATATTTTGTCCAAAGCGTAGCATTTCAGAAGATATGCACTGAAAGATTCAACACAATTATGAGGCCCCGTTTGCCAAGATTCTAAAATATAGTACAAGCCAAAGAATTTAACTAAAGAAGGCAGCTTGATGTAATAACAAACAAATCTAAGCCAAATAAGTGCAAAAAAAATATTTGAACTAAATAAGTCCAAAAAAACAACAAAAATTTAATGCCTTTTTCACAATTTTAGTAAAGGATTATAAGCAAATGTCTTTCTTTGCCTCAAAGAACTCGCCTTCTCCCTTCTTTTTCTTCTTCTCGACTTGCTTTGCAAAATACTTGTCATCAAACTTTTCAACATTGTCCAGTTCCAAAAAAAAAAACTTTTCAACATTGACGCCAGAGATGTCCACCTTGGTCGAAGTATCAATCAAATAAGATTGATTTACATGTCTAAGAGGAACACCATTAAGCTTGAAAGGTCCCGTAGAAGCAATGGAGAAAATGAGACAGTAATTCAAAAGCTACTCAACAATATCTTACCAAACCAAGTGAAAAAAACACGCCTAATGGAAATCGTAGGGCTGCCCTTGGGAGTGCACAATTCCACAATGGTATTCTTTACCAAACGAGCTCGTACTACCAACAAAATCAAGCAATGGTAATGCTATCTATCAAGACCAGATCAAGAATTGCAATCCTTCCAAATCATATATTGCATAAGTCATGAACAAGTAAATTTTCCAAGGACCAACCACGGATCTCATGAGAATATGGCAATCAATACAGCCAAGTCATTTCAAACTAATATTTATGCAACAAAGCAACAGTAATCATACTCTATGATTCCACATACACAATTTTATGTGACTAAGCAACACCATTCATAGGATATCCAACATCAAATTATGCAGCATCACATAAACTAACAAGTATTTGTCATCATCAAACCCAAGAACATAAGAGAGAATAAAAATAAAATAAAAACCCACCTTGCAAAAATTAAAAATTAAAAGATACAAATTTAGTACCTTAGGTAGTGATGACGCAGCTCTTGCTTGGAGAAGACATTTTTTAATCTAAAAGTACTATGTATTTACCAACTTGCCAAGTTTAGAACAAAAGAAAAAAGATGCAAGCCCTCAAATATTCAATTCCCTATAGGTCTTAAAAAAATTCAGAATTCAAACATAAGAACCCAAAACAAACATTTGAACAAGTGGAATCAGCTATGGCAAAATCAAAAGATGGTAGGCACACTACAACATATAAAAGTTTTAGAGACCAAATGTTTTGGTCTCTAAAAGTGAAAATTTTGTTGTAAAAGACATTTAAAGACCAATTTCCATCTTCATGAGGATAGTTGCTAAAAGGTCGTCCGGAAAAGTAAAAAATAAGGCATTTAGCGACAAAATTTTGAAAATGTCACTAATAAATAGACTTTTAGGGACAAAATAATTTGGTCTCAAAATGATTTATTTTTTGAGACAAAAAATTTGATCCCAAAAGGATAATAATTCATCACTAATGTCCAATTTTTGTTGCTAAAATTATAATGACGACACTTTTCTAACAAAATTATTTGGTCTCTAAAAAATAATTTTGTCCCTAAATTTTGGTTTCTAAAACCTTAATTTTTTGTAGTGACAATAACTTGAGAGAAGAAATCAACAGAAGTATCACAAATTTAAAACTAATGAGAAGGTGCATTATGTTCTTGTATACAGCTTGTTATTGAGGTGGTTGTTTGTAAGTAGCACGCCACCTATTTCTTAGTGCAATGGTTGCATGTAGGACACATGTTAATGGGTGGCTACATGCAAAACCATGTCACTTGTCATTGAATGTTTGCATGAACATCATGTGTCACTAGCTTGTTATGGAGTGGTTGCATTGTATGTCTACCACTAGTCCACCTCTTGTTAGTTTGTAGTTTTTCTATTCCAAAGTACTTCATAAGGAAGTAACTTCCTTGGCTACTTATATATAGGGTTGTAATTACTCTTTTTAAGGATGTCTTTGAAGAACTGAAACTTAAGATTTTGAGATTTTATTTTAGCCTTACTTTGTTATTTCTTGTGGCTTGGTTTTGAGACCCACAACTCGTGGAATTTGACCCTTACTTGCTAGATTTTGCATAAATCAATCCTAAAATTTGATTTTACAAAGTTTGAGAAAACTGCCCCCCACACCCCAAAAGAGGAGTTTTTTCCAAGTTTGACCCTAGTCAAAGAAGTCAAAACACACAGCACCAAAACGGCCATACTTTTGGAGATCATAACTGAGAAATGTGGTTCTAAAAAAGCCTTTTCCATCCCCAACTCAGTTTCTTGGTAACTATGAATGAGACCACCACCATTTATATAAACATGTTTATTGTAATAACTCAACTAACTAATTGTCAAATAAGCCTAGAAATAAAATAGTCTACATAGATATTTTATATTTATTATATACATACCCCATGTATTCTAAGGATCTTTTTTTCTATCAAAAAACTACAAAAATAACATCTTTCTCCAAGAAAGACAATCCTGATATTGCATCCTTTGCCAGCAGTGGTAACCATAATGATCACATCTTATCCTCAAGAGTTCAAGAATGCCTCCAGCAAAAAAACAAAAACAAAAACAAAAAAATTTGGAGGCATTGGATCAAATATACATTCACAATCCACATTACAAACTTCAACACTTTGAATGATACTGCAGTTCAAGAAAAAAGCAAATATCACAATCACAAAGTTAAAAAGCTACATAAAAATATTGTTGTACTAAATGCCCATTATTAGCAAATATGGTGCTATTAACTTTATTTTATTGGCTGCAAATACGATGCTATTGTTAACAGGCAACAATCTTGTCAGATTTGCTTTTCCTATTTCTAATTAGATAACCAATCAATGTTTCAAATTAGATTTCAAATATAATTCTAAAAAGCTCATCTTTGAGAAAAAAAAACTAACGTCGATCATTTTTTATTTTTTACTTTTTTAAAAAGGTAAGGAAACAACAACTGCCATGCCATTTGAACTGCTCGTACGTAGTAATTCAAAGCTGGGACAATGGAGTACATACACTAGTATGATCCCTAAAACAATGGAGTACCTACTACACTACAATGCAGTCAAAAGAAGTCATGACAATAACCAATTAGTGATCCCCAAGACAAAGGTAGCCTTTCTATAGTCACTGCAAAGTCCCTTTCTCTAGTAATAACATGCATTGCAGTAATCAGCTACTTGGTCATATCATGGCAAACAATATGCTGCCAAGACCAGCCATGATATTGCTCCCATTATTTGCACAACTACCGCGCACCTAAATAGTAAATACAGAGTCTCTAACAAGGTAGCCCACTTAAAAGAGTATTTTCTGAACTGATTACAACCATGTCAATTAAAATTCTAAACTAATTCTCTACAGATTATTGCTCCTATCAAATAAATTAATCGTTACAAACAACTCTACACTCAGTTCTTATACAAATTCAAGAAGACGTACATTCAATATAAAAATTTCAAGTTCTAAACTTTACTTTAACAACGAGATTCTTATTTTATTTTTTATTTTTAGTCTCTGCATTCAAAGAAAAAACAAGAATTAATTTAAAATAGTATAGATTATCATATATGAATGATAAACCTGCATTTGATATTTTAGAACTTAGTTACAACTGGGATCTACCATTTACGTGGAATTTTCCCACAAAGAACTTCAATGTAGGTAAAGTTTTTAAAAGAATTGATATTCTACATGATTTATCTCTACTAATTACTTCATGCTATAATTTCTTTTAATAATTTATATACATGGTTATAGATGAAGAAAACTAGGTTTGCTCTGAGTTCTAACTGGATCAGAAAAACATTGTGCCAAAGTTTCAACTTGAATCAATCCATGTTTTCTTTTTTCTTCCTCCCCCTTACTCTTCATCTTCCATTCTAATTCAAATAAAATAAAACTGATGAGCTTTCTCTATGAATCTCATCCAATATAATAGAGCAATCAATCACCAATCTAACAATTGCAAAGCAATCAGACAATAAAATTACTTACAAAAACTCTCTGTATAACATATCAAATCCAACTGTTGATCAAATCAAGAGGACAACAATTCAAATATAACTTTCGATTACAGCACCACAGGAAAATGTACACTAAACGAGCTTCAAAATCTAAATATAAACTAGTTTACAACTCAAATGAAATCTAACAAATTTGTTTTTTTGCAACCACCATATATATATATATATATTTTCATTTATTAGCAAATGAAATCTAAGAAAAAAATATATGAAAGACAATACATGAATTTTTTTAATTTTCTGAAAAA